CTTGATGAAAGATCAAACATCACAGTCAAGCATGTGCTCTTGTCAAGGCCACACATCTTCCATGCTGTTGTGTTTCCCTCACCTATAACAGTATCAGCAACAGAAGGCCCTTTCTGCAGTAGGATTGTAATCATAAAAATCAAGAAAAACCACATTTATTCAGTCTTAGTTCTGTTACTTTGGTTGACCAACTACCAACTCCAACTCCAGAGTTAAGAAGCAACACAGAATTAAGAGTTTCAAACAAAAGAATATCCAACCTTTTCCAAGGAAGTGCAAGGCCCGATCACCCCCTGAATTTTGATTTCCTTGGAGCAATTTATCTCCAGGGTTCCACTGAAACATAAATAAAGATGGCAGTGACATATCTGATAACAGATAATGGAAAAATGTCTGAAGAAAATAAGAGACAAGGGAAGAGAAAAATGAAAACACATTCACAAAAATGAAAATGTCAGTATAGCATTTAAAATGAACGAATTCTCACTTGAAACAAAGACCAAGAGATTGTTCCCCATCCTCAAAAACTCGTTTAAAAGAGTCCTTGAAGACTGAATGACCAAAACTTTCAGCCAGGACAACAAGACCACCAGTTCGTTCAACCGCAACTTTAATTTCTGCAACTCCAACCTTTTTATTTAAAGCATTTACAATTCAGCACAGGACAGAATTAGATCCAAATTGTTTTTCAATGTAACATTCTGACAAAATTACAAACTCAAATTCATGCATACCCACTGCACAATATAAACAAGAACTTTCTTGCATACCCATAATAAAGTCAATCACAAAAAATAAAATTAAATAAAAAATTAAAACACAACCAGAATTTCTCTTAAGCAGAAAAATAAATGAAAACCATGATGCCATCATACAATCACCCAGATGGATGGAAGTGACACATTAATTAACCATATTGAAATATAGCTTCACAGGTCATGTAGCCATGTGTTTCCAGTGACAGGGAAACGAATTAAATTAGGAATATCTAATCAAATAAGCCTGTAAAAAATTTTGCATAACCACATGAATCTACTTAGTCCGTCAATGTAAAATAAGATGTAAGGCATTTGATGAAATTAAATTAAGGAAAAAGGGGCTTGATTATCAGAACTCACTACGTTCTTCAAAGTCTCACTTTGTGAAATCTATCAGCAGCACTGCAAGTGAAAGAATTCTTAAGGTATGAGAATATTAGTATATGCAGGAACAAACCTGATCAAGTGCTGATGCAAACATGTCTAACACATGACCCTGGCTAACCAGCTGTTTAGCGAGACCTTCATAAAACTTGACTGCTTTCTTGAAGTATGGTGCTGCATCTTTATCAAGATCTTTATGAGAGCGCACTGGGTCAGACAGATCTTTTGAAACAATCTGCA